TTTTTTCATATCTTAGATGATTTTTTAAAATCAATAAGCCAGATTCTTAGAAGTGAAATTGCTAGGTCATAAAGTTTGAACATTTTTAAGGGCTCTTGATGCATATTGCCAAATTATAACATCCACTTTCTGCCATTCACCACCCACAAATCTAAAAATAGTACAATGAAAATTTTGACAAGGGCATTTATGGACTTTTGTTACCTATTTGTCTTTGTATTTCTGAGTAGCTACCACAGGAACACTGAGTCTCCTGAGGAGGGAAGAAAGTCTAAAAGCTGTGAAAGGAGAACTGCAAAGAATTAAAAAAAAAAAGATTTTTGAATTAAGGAAAAACTGATAAGAGACAGGAAAAGGATTAGGCAAGCTGGTGGCAGTCAGCAACAGACAGTGAGATGTGACACAATAAAAACTGGGTCATTGAGTTAGGACAGCCCTAGGACATAAAAAGACTGAAATGAAGTAAAGCTCTGGATTACTTTGTTCTTGAATATTGAATTTTTTCAGAAGCATGGAGCATGAAATATTATAGTGATAAGCCAAGATTGGAAATATAGCCAAGAAAAAGAGGTCTTTAAGGGATTGTTTAAAATGTGCTGAAGGAATAATTTGGTTTGGTCTTAAACAGCTCCCAAAGTAAATTGACATAAAGCTTTTGCATAGTAAAATAGGCATGGAGGCAGAAAACAATGGGCAAACAGAATAGTTTACCCTGTAAATTTGTTAGCATGTAAAATGTTAGATTTTGGTCATAGAAAAGGTTTATCAGAAGACATAAATGCTGTATTTTATAAGTGCAATTAGCACTAATTTGTTATGAATATCTATCTTTATTCTAGTTTTAAGAGACTTAAAAGTGGATGTTTCATTAATAAATTAGTTGATTTATCAAAAATAAATTGTTACTAGGCCATTGTAAAAATCATTCTAAAAATCTTTTCCTCCTAGCATTTAAAAACGTTCAGGCCCTAGAAAAAAATGTGTTTAAAAATAAGTTTAACAACAACATTTAAATTTATTCTGGTGCTTAGATGGATTTATGTCTTGCTGAAAATGAGGCTAGGCATTGGTGTGTTGTAATCATCTTAACCAGTCAGGAAAGTCTAGAGCTCCTGAAAACCAGATATAAACCATGGGACACCATGGAACACATACTTTATGAAAAACCAAAGATATTTGGAAAATTATCTTATCAACATGCTCAAGAAAAACATGTTCCACAGCTGAATATCCTTATCTGAAAAGGGCTTTTTAACCTAGTGAGGTATACAATCAAAATGTATATATTTCAGCTATTTGTCCTCCATTGTCCCATAGACCTAAGGGTTTAGCACTCAGCTACATTAAAAATGTATAATTTTAAAAACAATAATCAACTAAGAATGGCCTTGTCTTTAATTTTTCAGAACTCTAATAGCACTATATTTGGCTGATAGGAAAGCGGTATTATCGACTCATCTTTAAAGGTTTTTAGTTCCTGATCTTGAGTTATTTATACTCTGATTGAAAACATATTGGAGACACTGCTCAGTATTATACCCTAAAGGAGAAGAATGTTTAATATTCAAGTTATATGTACATTTAATAATTATAAACACTTGATTCATTAATGCCTAGAAGTGCTAAAATGACCGCTAGAGAGAGTAGAAGTTTAGCACTTTGTTTCAATAGCTTTTCTAAAAAGAATGAGAGGTTATTAAGAGTAAAAAATGTAAAAAAATTCTGAAAACTATTGCTCCCTCTGGCCAATCAACTTTTGCTAAGGAAGGCTAGAGAGTTAAATGTTGATTGTTGAGTACTTTACAAAGCAAAGCAGCAAAAGGCATGCTTTATATTTTTAGTATGCTATGATTCTGTTCTGTGAAGCAAACTTAATTTAGGTAGCTCCAATAATATGTCATCCACTATACTTTGACACTCCAGGACTAAAAAGATAAATAGGATTGAGTCCTTGCCCTTCCAGGTAAGGTCTAGCAGAGGAGACAAATTTAAGGTGACCACAATGTCTTATGATAGTATTGTATCAATAATACAGCTATGTAAAAGATGAAAATAAGTGATGAACTTTGTCTGGAGGTCAGGATAGTCTTTCAACAGATGGAACAGAATAAGCAAAGTATTAGACATTTGAAAACATAAGGGCTGAACAGAACCAAAAGTAGTTTTGAATCATTAAAATATAAGGTATGTAGAAGAAAAGGGGTTGAGATGAACTGAAAAAACTGGCATCAGGAAGTTATTGTTTTTTAAATAATATATTATGATAATAGATTATCATAATATATTATGATAATAGATAATAATATATTATCATAATAGATGATGATATCATAATATATTATGATAAAAATAAAATAATATATTATGCCTCATGCTGCAGGCAATGAATGGTATATCTATATTTAAACAGAATTAGAATGTATTGTTGCCATATTTGGAAATGATAGAAAGCTGAGAGGGAGTACTAATTTGATAGAAGATACAATCACATTTCAGAAGAATCTCCTGACAGGCTAGATAGACCCAAATACATTTTTTATACACACACACACATACATACATGCACATGTGAGCAAGTTCACATAGTTCCTCCTCCAACATGTACTTTTTAAAAACTCAGTTCACAGAATCTGTGCTATTTTCCAAGAAAAAACATCTGGGTAATCTTAGAAGATGACAAGCATATATTACTGGAAATATAATGACCAGATCATGGAAGGTAACAATCTCACTGTACTGTTCCACTTTGGAGCAGTAATCATGTTACTGCTTTCCTTAAAATTGGTCCAAGACTCTCATTTTCTACAGGATAACACCCAAACTACTGAGCATGGCATTTGAGGCCTCTTTCTGCCTACCTGGCCTCGTCTTGCTATCCCCTGCCCCTCCAATCCCACATGTGCAATTCTTCCAATGTACCTTTCTGGGTTCTGCCTACAGACGTTTTTCCTGCATACTCCTCTCTCCTCCTGAAGTAATCTTATTCATGTGGTGAAACTCTACTTATTTTTCAATGCCTGGTTCAACTATCGTATCCTCTATGGAAATCCCATTGTCTCCTACTTCCAGGTAAATTTGAACTTTGTATCCCTCTTTACAAAAATAAAACATTTTATTACTACATCTATCTTAGTCCATTTTCTGTTACTATAACAGAATGCCTGAGACTGAGTAATTTATAGAGAAAAGAAGTTTATTTGGCTCACAGTTCTGGAGGCTGGGAAGTCCAAGGGTATGGCAACAGCTTCTGAAGACAGCATTCGTATTGCCTCATAACATGGTAAAAGGAATCACATGGCAAGAGGGCAAGAGCATGTGTGTCAGCTCAGGTCTCTCTTCTTATAAAGCCACCAGTCTCAACGTGGGGCCTGTCCTGATTACCTTATCTTATCCTAATCACCTCCCAAAGGCCCTACTTCCAATCAACATATGAATTTGGGTATTAATTTTCCAACACATGAAATTTGGGGGAAACATTCAAACCATAGCAGCATCTAAAACAATTGATGCATCTAAAACAACTGGCTTGTATCCTTGGATTCCCCATTTACAGATTCAACCAACTGCAGATTGAAAATATTTGGAAAAAAATAACAATACAACAATAAAAATAATGCTAATAAACAATAACAGTGTAACAACTATTTACATATCATTATATTCAGTATTATAAGTCATCTAGAGATGATTTAAACTATACAGGAGGATGTGCATAGGTTGTATGCAAATACACCACTTTATAAGGAACTTGAGCATCTGAGGATTTTGGTATGGAGAGAGGGTCCTGAAACAAATCCCCCATGGATGTGGAGAGACAACTATATTTTTATTAGGCTACTACTACTTAATTGTAAGGTCTTCGTGGCACGTGTCTTATTCATCCTTACATTTTTAACACTTAACATATAAATGTTAATAAATATTTGGTGAATAAATATAACTGGTCAATAAATATTTGGTGAATAAATGAGTGAATGGACTTATTGGGGGAGCTAGTGTAGCACAGTGGTTAAAAGCATGCAATTTGGAGGCAGGTAGACATATGTTCAAATCCTTTCTCTATTTATCAGCTTGATCAAGTCATTTAACTTACTTAATCCTTAATTTCTTCATCTTTAGAATAGGTGCCAATAGGGCTTTGTAAGAATTAAATGAAATTATCGTGGCATAATAAACATTCATAAGTGGTTAATATTCTTATTATAATTTTATATTCTGAAATTCTTAGGCAGTTTAATTCTTTCTAAGTCTTTAAACTCACTCTGTTGCTTTATGGGCCCAGAAACTTGACCCTCAAAGGGTTTTGATTATCTCCATCTAAACTGATAAGAGACTTACTCAGAATATATGATAGTGGCTATATCTGGTCCCTGGACAGTGGGCCCAGGCATAAGGCTTGCCCTTCTGAAGGGGCTAGGTCCACTTGGGAGATCAAGTTATAACTGCAGAGGTTGCTTGGAAAGTGAAGCTTCAAAAGAAAGAAATTGGGCAGTAGTACAAGAATGTTTTTAACAAGCTAATATGTACCCAGTAGGGACATTTGAATTTAGAATAAGTCATATCCAAGTTTTTCCCCCTTTTCTCTTAAGAGTGATGATCTTGGAGTTGTAAAGGTCTTTATAAATCCTTGTTGATGTCGGGAGGAGAGTTAGATACATTGTCTTAGGAAGCCAGCCTAACTACTTTGGTGTTGTCTACATGGGTTTAACACAGTTTGGTTCTTGGATTTTCCATCCAAAAACTCAATTTTGTTAGTGTATCATAACTAAGCAGACTCAAAAGGAATGACCACAGTGACCAAAGTCATAAAAGACTGATGTACAGAGTACAGATTTGTTAATTTATAATGCAAAATACAACTGCCAGTATATTTTCTTCTGGTAGAAAATCTATTTAAAAAGTCAAATAATCATTAATGTTGCTTGGTAATCATAGGACCAAAGAAATGGAGGTTCATGCCATCTAGCTATGATAATTTGAGGTGCTCATCTCCACTATAGAGTTGTGTCTGCCAAGGACCTGACTACTCGAATCCACACGGACTAGGGCTCCATCTCACCAGGACTGGGGAGATGCCGCGAGCAAAGAAATTTCATGGTGTGTGTGGAGAATACCAAGCTGTGTGTGTGATGCCCAAGGACAAGTTGAAAGGAAGAGTGAAAAGGATGAGGCTAAAGAGGTAAGCAAGGCCAGATCCTGGGATGTGGAGAATGGCAGGAGTGACCAAGGCTAGGCAAAGAATTATTAAGTGGTATTGAGACTACTGAGGGTGGAGACCATGAGTGTGTGCAGCTATTCCAGCCTACACAATTGGGTCATTTTCTATAGCCATCTGGATATCCCTGGACAGAAGATAGATAGTTAAGTTGAGCCAAAGTTGGGAGTATATGGGGCAAATGCAGTGGAGGAACAACAGTACAGAGATTTTCAAATGTTGTTGAGAGTGGCATAAGGAATGAACCATGAACTTTCTAAAGGGTAAGTGAAACCACGAACAGTAATCAGCTGAAAGGGTGGAACAGAAGTCTTCACGAGGTAGATGGCAAGTTTGAATATTTGTTTCCCACTATAGTCACTAAGCATCTTGGAGACGGGCCAGGTCTTAATTCCCAGTATCTCCAGTATCGTAAGACAGTGCTTATGCATACAGTAATGTTGACGTTGAAGGCACTTAATAGTGCTGACTGAATGCACAGATGAAGGAATAGACAAGCTGTTAGGACTCAGAGCTTTTGCCTCCTGTTCTTAATAGATAAACTCCCTACAAAATAGAAATGCCACATTTACTCATATATGAATCTTTGCAGTGTGAAAAAGAATCCTAATTTTAAAACCAATAATCACTCTTATACTAAGATAAACTTTCAAATTTGGCTAGAGTCCCAAGCACCATTTAATTCAACACCTGCTATGTACCAGATGTGCTGGGGCTTCATCAGTATCTCATCCAACTCTCACAGAAACTCTGTAACACAGGTACTATTCTCACTTTACAGAAGCTAAAACTGGGGCTCAGAAGAGGTTAAGGAACTTCCCCAGGGTCACACAGCAAGTAAATAGAAGGCAGGATTTAAACCTAACCTTGTCTGGCTCTGAAGACCATGCTTTTCCATTGTGCTCTCTCTCTCCAAACATATGCTTCAAAGATATATTTAGATTTATTTAGACCTTTCCAATCTAGATGCCAGAGTAGGAACATTGACACTATTTCTCAACCTTGGACCCCCAGCCTTCTAAGGGTCAAGGAAATTAGTAAAAAAGTGGTCATTAGCTATGGTCATTTTTTTTTAAAAAAATCTAATAATATGTTTACCTATGGAAAGGCTGAGCAAGCAAACTAAAAATTCTTGAGTTTTTGCCTTTGGTTGGAATTACATTAACTCAGGGCATTGTCCTCAGTCATTTCATGTGATCAAAGGTGACTGCAGTTAAAGAGATGTGTATTTGATTAACTTTTTTTTAAGTAGGAAAACTCTTTGGTAGACTAACTAAAAGGATGGCCTGCTTGGCCAGGCACAGTGGCTCACTCTGGTAATCCTAGCACTTTGGAAGGCTGAGGTGGGAGGACTGCTTGAGGTCAGGAGTTCGAGATAGATGACATAGTGAAGCTCCATCTGTACAAAAAAATAGAAAAATCAGCCGGGCGTGGCCGCACATGCCTGTAGTCCCAGCTGCTTGGAAGGCTGAGGCAGGAGGATGGCTTGAGCCCAAGAGTTTGAGGTTGCAGTGAGCTATGATCTGTGATCACATGCCACTGCCCTCATTATCCAGGCAACAAAGCATGACCCTGTCTCAAAAAATAAAAAAAAGACTGCCATTTGCTTAAGTAGATCCATGTGAAATGCTAAGTGTTTTCATGTGCTATCTTATTTACTCCTCAAAGGTATTATAATAATTTTATTATTATTATATTATAATACCATTTCCCATTTTAAAAATGAGAAAAACTAAATGTCAGAGAGGTCTAATAAGTTAACCAAGATTACATAGCTGGTAATTGGCAGAACTATGATTCAAATTGAGGTATGTCTGATTCCAAAGCTTTCCCACACAGTTCAGTTCTACAAATTATTGAGGTCCTATTGCTTGGCAGGCACAGGAGACTCTAGGATGAGTAAAATACTGTTCCTGCACTAAAGATACTTACAATCTAGTGGTACTATTCAAAACTTCGGGTATAGGAGAGAAATCACAAAAGGGTGCTTGGTGGAAGAAACTCTGGGTCCCAGGGGACCAGGTTCTGTCCCTTTTCAAATAGCCAAGGGGTCCAGAGCATGAGCCCACTATTGGGGCCAGGAATCAGGCAAGCTTTAAAGCAGCATGGCTTGCACATCTTTTTTCTTCTCCCTCCTCCCTTGGAATAAAACTGAAAACTAGTTTTTATAAAGTAAAATTCCTGCAAATGCAAATTAATGAGGTACAAACTGAGAGCTCGTACAGAAGAGACAAAGGAGAAAAATGATCAGTCACGTGGGGTGGTCAGAGAAGGATTCTGAGGGAGACCTTTTGAATCACTACTGGCTCTGTGCCAGTTAAGGTGCCCACATGCTCTTCTGTTTCTCTAGGAAAGGTCCTGGTTACTAAAATTAAAAAATAAGAAAACTGGTTGCTACAAACTCATAACTTTTTGAATTCTTTATAGCCCTATGAATTTATGGCTCAAAGTGTTTCTAAAGTGTAATCTTTAAAATATGAGAAGTTGCCAGGTCTTCCCTGGCATTTATACCTCAGCATTTATAATAAGGTTTTAAAAAATATCAGACTTTTATTTTCTGAAATCAATTTTTGGTCCTATAGAAACAAAAAAGAACTCTCTGATTCTGGATTTCTTGGCTGTAAAGACTGTGGAGCTCAAATGTACAGACTTACCTAATAACATTTTGATGCAATGTTTTTGTTTTGATTTTTTTAATATTACTTTTTAATAGAGTAAAGGGGAAGGCACAAGTACATTTTCAGTGTTATTATATGGGTCCTTATCTCACAAAAGTTTAGTAACCCTTAAGGCTTGCCAAATTTCTTTTGAAAACTCCAGTCTACTAGGTTATAAAAACAGCCTCCTAAGTTATAAAAACAGCTCCTAAGCCCCCCCAGTAAGCTCCTGCCTTTACTGCATGAAATGAAATGAGCCAAATATTTCTTCCTTTTGCAAACAAGCCCAAATAAGCATATGGATTGGAGAGTGGGAAAAGATATATATAAGAATAAAATCAAGCCCCTCACTAAAATGCCCACTCCAATCTCAGGGTACAGGCAACCATGAGTCAACATGTGATCCTCACCAAAGACAAAAACAATCTGCTCTCAGCAAACCCAGCTGCAGTTAATAACATGAGCAATATCAAGAGCAGATCTGAATGCACACATGCCAGTAAAGGGAGTTTTATGATTTTAGTAGAGAAAACTCCACCTTCTACTCCATTCAGGGCCAAGAGCAAAGTCAGGCAAATGGAAAATATGCTGGAAACAGTGTTAGGACTCTCCAACAAAAACATTCCTTCCCTTGTCCTTTTAACTATTTGAGACAGAGATGCTTTGGAGCTAGAAGGTGAAGAATCAAAGTCACCACTCACCCTTGGGGAAAATCCACCCCAGGAGTGTCTTATCATAATTGCTTTCTGAGATGCTGGCCACTCCAGGATGCATTTACCTCAGGGATATGTATAATGTGTGCTGCCAACCTGAGTCACCTGGTAAAGGTGTCTGTGGAAGGCATCATTGTTTTCAAGTTTAATTCTTGGCTTAAAAGTCTAAGTCCCTGTATTATTAACTAAAAGAAAATCAAATACCCTAATAGGGTGTTCTAGTTTGTGTGTGTGTGTGTGTGTCTGTGTGTCTGTGTGCACGCACGCGCACGTGAACGCACGCCTTCTTTGTTGTTTTAAAATCTGGCCCCCAAGTCAAGAAGTTGTATTAAGGTTGGAGAGGTCTTTAATTCTTCTCCGAAGAAAGAATAGAATAAAACAAGGCTAGGTGCTGTGGTTTACACCTTTAATCCTATGACTTTGTGAGGCTGAGGTGGGAGGATAGCTTGAGACCAGGAGTTTGAGACCAGCCAGGGCAATAGCGAGACCGCTGTCTATACAAAAAAATTTAAAAAATTAGCTGGGCTTGGTGACACATGCCTGTAGTCCCAGCTACTTGGAAGGCTGAGGCAGGAGAATCACTTGAGCCCAGGAGTTTGAGGTTGCACTAAGCTATGATTAAGCCACTGCACTCCAGCCTGGGCAACAGAGCAAGACCCTGTCTCAAAATAAACAATGGCCGGGCATGGTGGCTCATACCTATAATCCTAGCACTCTGGAAGGCCAAGCAGGGAGGATTGCTTGAGCTCATGAGTTCAAGACCAGCCTAAGCAGGAGTGAGACCCCATCTCTAAAACAACAACAACAACAACAACAAATTTTTAAATGAATAGAATGAAACAGAGAGGGTGCTAGCAAGCAAGAGCTCAGTGTAAACTTTTTAAATTCAGCCTCTTAGTAGGTTGGAGATTTTGTTTCTTTCTTCCTTGATTTCCCTAGATTCAGAATCCAAATCCTGAGCTTCCTAGCAAGCTGCAAAGGGAATTAGCTTGTTGGGAGAACCGCATAGTGGGGTGCTATATATTTAAATGACAGTCATGAATGGCAGTCAGAATTCCTTCTTACTAGTTGCTTTTAGGAGTGTCCTAAATATCATATGTTTTCTAATTTTTTCCCTCAAAACTCATCCTTTATTTAAAAAAACGTTTGTCCATATCTTGATTGTTCTCAAATAGTCTATTCTTCCTTCATAGGAAATTCAACAAGGTCAATATCAGGGCCATGGTTTTTATTCTCTGTTCAGCATCTTTTTATGGCATCCATTGTAATAAATATAAAAATAGCTTTGTGTTTGGGTCATATTTCTTTGAGTAGCTATCTATGTTAAAAGTATCATATTGGTCACTTTCAAAGCCAATCAGGCAAAAACAGGGACTTGAGGAAATGACATGGCCCGTTCAAGTTTATATGAGCACCAACCCTGAATCCAGGTCTGACAGCTGGCTGTTCAAGGCCATACTTTCCCCACACCCCTCCTCTTTAATATGCATTGTCATCTAGAGCTATAGCCTCAAAATAAACTGACCACCATGACCTTTATCTTAACCATGTACCGCTCTCTGTTTAAAAGTAAACTCAGGTGGGACCTGTGCAAGTTTTGTTTTTGTGACTCATACCTTACCTTCCTTATCCATTAAAGGGGATAATCCCATCCCCTGACCTATCTCACGGGCATTTTTAGTGTCAAATGAGCTTGTAGGGGTGAGGGGAAACTTGCCCTTTCCCCCAAAATTTCACTGAAAGATCAATTCACAATTAAGGCAGATTAATAAGAGAAAGGTTTATTTACCAAGCACATGGGGAGAATCACAGAGTGATTACTCAGTATCCCAGTGGGATCCAGATATTTTTATACCTGTCTTTTTGAAGGGGAGGGGGAGATGAACAGTATAGATAATTCTGTTTAGAGGCAGTAAATGGTTGCTAGGGAAGATGAATGGATGAGAGAAACAGATTAACTTGTAAATGACTCTTTTTACAAATTAAATTAACATGAGAGACAGAGATTATATTTTAAATGATTTGGGCCAGGTCTGGTTGCATTCTTGACCTTCTTTCCCTGTAATATATAGAGATGACAGGGAGAGGAAGGGAAGTCAATTTTTCTTTTGGTAGGTTTATGCAGATAGAGGGAAAGCCCCTTTCAATGCTTTTTGATCTTGAAGGGCCTGTAATTCAAAATACTCTTTATACTAAGGAGTCATAGTTTGGGGTGAAATTTCCTGAGCTCCTTCAAGATCTGTAAAAGGGCTTTGAGAAAGGTGAGCATTTATTAACACAGCGGCAGAATAATGATCACTCAAAGATGTCCACATCTTAATCCCTAGAACCAGTGAATGTGTTAGGTTACATGCAAAAGGGAATTCAGTTTGCAGATGGAATTAAGGTTGCCACTCAGCTGACTTTAAATAAGGAGAGTCTTCTGGATCATTTAGGTGGGTCTGATGCAATCACAAGGGTCCTTAAATGACCAAGAGGGAGGCAGAAGAGTGAGTGTCAGACTGATGTGATTGTGAGGAAGGCTCGACCAGCCATGGCTGGCCTTGAAGAAGGGAGGGGCCACGGGCCAAGGAAGGTGGTGGCCTCTGGGAGCTGCACAAGGTAAGAAAACGGATTCCCCTAGGGCCTCCAACAAAGGACAACATCTACCGACACCTCAAGTTTTAGCCCAGTGAGATCCATTTTGTACTTCTGACCTCCAGAACTATAAGATAATAAATTTGTATTGTTTTAAGCCACTACATTTGCGGTAACTTGTTACATAGCCATTGAAAACTAACACAATTATTAAAATGAGTGCACTTCCAAGTACTAAAACAGGTTCTAGGTGGATTATGAGAGCTGAGTGAAATCCAGCAAGCAGGCCCTCCACCCCGGCCCCGTGTCGGCCCTGCAGGTAAGCAAAGCACATCTGATAGAAGAAAGACAGCAAGGCAGCAGGTCCAGCAGGAGCACGGCAGCCAACCAGAGTAGGACAGCTCAGACTGCACCTGCCCCAGGGACACCGTGAGTAGAGACCTTGCTAAAAATGACAGGAGGATCATATCCATCCCACCGCCTGCCCCACGGTCACCAAGGGGGCGGACAGTGCTCCCCTCACATCCTGCCCCCTGCCCCCTCCACCGCAGCAGCACCCACTTTGTTTCTGTGGGTTCCTTTCTATCCTGGTCAGTCTCTTCCAGGCTGCTCTCAGCTCACTTCCCTGGGAGCAGGAGCTCGAGCTGGCAAAGGGTACCGTGATCAGCTGCCCTAGGGCCACAGGACCAGGAAGACCTCTGTGGGTCAGGTTCCAAGGGAAGAGTAACAGAGCAACTTCATCCTTATTCTACTCTTGCTGGAAAATCATTCCTACTTCACATACATCTCATCAGAGGGCCTCCAGGGACAGAGGCAAAGCAAATGCCAGATTTTAAAATTATTTTCCTCCGGCTGTGCATTAACATTTTATTTCAATCTTGACCCAAAGCCTGCTCAAGATATGAAGCTTGAGGGGATTCCAAAGGAGGATCAGAGCGAAACTGATTTTTGCCCATGTCTCCCTGCCCCAGCTCCCGCCCACCCTCAGCAGCCTCGTCATTAGAGTGAAAATCCTGCCCTGGAGAGTCCCTTATCCCCGCAGATTTACAGGCACCCAGCACCCCAGCCAGCCCCAAACGGCTCCTTCCTGATCAACGCAGCTTCCACAGAGTGTCCACTCTGACCCACATTCCTGGAACAATTTCTTTTGCAAATCAGCATGTTTTAAGCAAACAAGGGCACATTTCAGGACATTGAACTGTGCAATTAGCTCAGGGTAAATTTGGCAAAGCATCTGGTCTGCTCACCAAAATGGAAACAAAAAAAAGTGCAGCTTTTAAAATTAAACATTTACTTTGTAAGGTTAATTCCGTGCAAATCTTGAAATGACATAGACGCTGGCTCTGTACAAAAGGATGGAGGGATGTGGATTCTTGGAGGTGCTCAGGAGTGTATCCACTGGTTAGGTCAGAAGCTGAACAAGATACAAATGTAATTTAGCAGTGCCAGAGAATGAGACCAAATAACCAACAGACGATGCTTGGAATCTCCAAAAGTCAATTTCAGCAGGTTTTCACATTTTATTGTGAGCATTAAAACTGTTAAAAGGATACATTGTATTAATTAAAGATATACTCTCTGATCTCTTGGATCTTAGAACACAGATCTTATATAAAAGCCTTGTATAGGCCAGGCACGGTGGCTCACGCCTGTAATCCTAGCACTCTGGGAGGCCGAGGCGGGCGATTGCTCGAGGTCAGGAGTTCGAAACCAGCCTGAGCAAGATTGAGACCCCTGTCTCTACTATAAATTAAAAAAGAAATTAATTGGCCAACTATTACATATAGAAAAAATTAGCCGGGCATGGTGGTGCATGCCTGTAGTCCCAGCTACTCGGGAGGCTGAGGCAGGAGGATTGCTTGAGCCCAGGAGTTTGAGGTTGCTGTGAGCTAGGCTGACTCCACACCACTCACTCTAGCCTGGGCAACAAAGTGAGACCCTGTCTCAAAAAAAATAAAAAAATAAAAAAAAATAAAAGCTTTGTATACCACTCTTCTCTTGCATAACACAAGATCAAAAGCACAGGCAAATGAAACAATAAAAGGACAACGAAGAGAAGAAAGCAGTGGTGGCAAAAATACTATTAGACCCTTTGAGCCACTTGCATTTCATGACTATTTTTGTTGAAGTTTTATAATCTCCTTCTGAGACTCAGGTCAGTTTGAGATATTATTTCCAAACACTGGAGTAAGATAATACATATAAAAGCAGGAAGATCAGGGAAGCTTGATTTTCAAGGGGAAAAACTATGGAACATGGAAGTCTAGTCACTATTATCATTTCCCCACTTTTGCAGCAGTAGGCAGTCTCTGGTGTAATAGAAATAATAAATCAGTTTGAAAAGCCAAGACTGGTCTTCTTTTACCTTTCATTCTGCTCATCTGAGAAATTCTTATGAAATTCTCCACCAACTGACTCTATGGTATGACCATCCTTTTTTGGTCAAAGCCAAACTATTCCAAATAATATAGGAAACTGGAGCAGAAATAGGATTTCAGTAGTGACGAATACAAACTTGGAGACATGAGAACATATCAAAGCACTCAAAGCTGGAAACTATAAAGAAGTTACATAGAGTAAGGGGTCTAGTGCATGACAAGCTGAACAAAAGCCAGCATGTCTTTAAAGAGCAAGGATAATTCTTGGAAGACTAGAAACAAGATTAGAACACTTATGTGCCATATGCAATTGAGGGAATTAACTGCTAGCTACAGGTGACTATTTTAAATTTAAATTAAATGTAAACAAAAGTTAAAATTCAGTTCTTTGGTCACACTAACCACATTTCAAGTGTTCGACAGCACCTGTGGCTGCTGGTGTCTGAGAAGAGCAAGACAGCAGGTCTGGCAGGAACATCGTGGCCAATCAGAGAGTGATATAGCTTGGAGTGGAGCTGCCCTGGGGACACCCTGAGTTGGAGCCCGAACTGAAAATGTCAGAAGGCTCACAACTGTCCCATCTGTTCAATAAGGATATTCCCCCCACCCCAACATGGGACAACACTGATACAGGTTTCTGTTACAGCAGAAAGTTCTCCTGGATGGTTCTGCTCTAGTGAGAGAGGAAACACAACAACAAAACAACAAAATCATTAGAAAATGGAAACTTTGAAAGATGCTATAAAGACAAAATTAAGTTTCTCTAATTTTGAAGGGAAAAAGGTGAGGAATGACTTTGGACTTTGAAACTGTGATAACTGTTGAGTGAAGACCAGATGTTTCCCACTTGTTTGAAGAGCTAAAGCAGGAAGCTTGTAAGTTAGTCATAAAGAACCTCTCCTCATGAGGTGACTGGATGCTGGACTGGGAAGGAACACCGTTAAATTGTATCCTGGGAAATATGTTAAAATAGGGTAGCAACTCAACATCTAGGATTTAGTATCAGGGGATTGACTAGAATGAACTTACCCTTAATCATCATTTTGCTTTATCTGTTCAAGTCCTATGCAAAGAGTATGCAAATGATTGGCACATATGATTGCTGCATGGATCCCAGAGGTTTTCATTTTGTTTGCCTTCTCCAAAGGGGGCTGTAATCCCAAAACACAGCCTTAGATCTTGACCTCAAAATCTAGCCACTTTTGCTTCACCCCATAGCTTCCTTTGTACCCAAAAGGAGTTAGAAGAGCTCACCTCAGACTTTCCTTCCTTTACTCCAGGGATCCTCAAACTTTTTAAACGGGGCCAGTTCACTGTCCCTCAGACTGTTGGAGACTGTGCACTGTGGGCCGGGGACAAGTGGGCTGCTAAGCAGGACAGGCAGTGGTGGCAAAAACAACCGGATAAATGTGCTAGGCAGCCCGCATGTGGCCCGTGGGCTGTAGTTTGAGGACGACACCTGCTTTACTGAGAAGCTACAGAGACAAAGTGCACCATAACCTCAGACATACCCACTAAATTAGCATGGTTACAGCATAATACATTGGTTACAAGCCTAAGCTTTGGAATCAGATAGCTCTGAATTTGAATTCCAGTACTTCCTCTTACTAGCTGAGCAACATTGGGCAAACCACCTAGCCTTTGTATCAGACATAACTCCCTTGATTGCAAGTAACAGTTCCTTCAGAAGAATTGAAAATTGATTGGTCTACATACTTGGGAAACCCAAGGGGTCTGCTCCCCATGTATAAAGAATCTACATTTTAGGCTCTCTTACTTACAATGCTCCTTTTCTGTACCAGTTTATTAGTCACTTTTGGTGACAACTGACAAAACCACATCACAAAATAGCTTAAGCAAATAGGAAGTTTATAGGCCCACGTGACTTGGTGGTTACAGATTATTGTACACCTTAGCCATGATTGAATCTAGGGCTCACATGATATCTTTTTCTCTATGTTTCTAATAAGCATGCTCTACATGGTGAGTAAGATGACCACCAGAAGCCCCGGACTTAACTTGACAATTCCCAGGAGACAAGGATCATATCTTCTCTCATAGAAAATTCCAGAGAAATTTCTGTTTGACTCAACCTGGGTCAGTGCCCATTTGTGACCAAGAGGATGGGGTGCTCTGATTGACTGAGCCTGAGTACACATTCATCCCTTTGACTAAGGGTAGACTGTATAATCAAACTGCATGAAATGAGTTCTCTACAGGAGAGAGGAGTTTTGAGTGCTGGACTGTTCATAGTAACATGCTCACTGCAACTTCCTAGTCTTGATCTCCTCACCTATAAAATCAGGATTATTCTCTTTTCTCATAGCACTATTATAAGATTAAATAACATATGTAAGGCATCTACAACACTGCTCAAATGATGGTAGCTAGTATTTTGCCAAACAGTAACTTACTACTATTTTGTTTAGGACACGTGATTTTGTGTCAATTTGGCTAGACCAAACTGCATTTCCCAGAATTCCCTTTCCTATTTGTTTCTGATTAGCCTGTGCCAAAAAAAAAAAAAAAAAAAAGATTCTTGCATGAGATTTGGAAGTGAAGCAGCAGCCATTTTGTGGCTCACAAATCTTGTTACGTATCTGCTAGTTCACCCTGCTGGTGTGAGGCGGCAGTCAAGCCTGCAGCACTTCCACCTTCCCCTGGCTCCTTCTTCAGCTTCTCAACTCCAGGCCAGAGGTGCGTTTAGTTCCATGACAGAGGTTGCCAGCTTCTCCCGAAGGACACTCAGACCATCAAGTCAGAGGCAGCAAGAACTGACAGTGGTTTCCACCCTTCCTCTTAGGTTCTACCTCGTGCTTGTAGGTTCTAGCTTATTCTTTTTTTCCCTCTACTTTACTCTCACCTGCCCTTCCCTGAGGACCTCATACACTACCATTGGACACAAAGATGACAGCTTCACAGAGACTCCATAACCAGCTTCCAAAATTACAGAAGATCAAATCTAACCCTTCCTCCCTCTCTCTCTCCCCACCCCCACAACACCTTTAAGTGGTTCTGCTTCTCTCATTGGATTCTGACTAATAAAAACAGAAGCCAAGTTTCCTACATGCCCACCAATCTCCCTTTGGGGAAAGAAGACCCTTTGGAAATTGTTTCAAGGGAAGCACAAATTAGGCTAAATCTAGAACTAATAGTTACAGTAAGTGTCAAAATAATTTATAAAAAATAAAGCTGGAGAAAAACACAAAATACCACAGCACCAACCACATTTTAACTTCCCCACTAGAGGCACAGACCAGCATCTTCTGTCACGGATCCCATATTGGCTCCGACTTGCCCAAGGTCAGGAGCAAAGCTCACACAAGAGTCAACGAGATGCTTCGGCCAAGGGGGGGGGGGGTTCAAATGTTTAAATCAAGCAGGAGCCCTTTTCAGTCTAGTTACATAAAAGCTTAAGTCCAACGGGTGAGGATGTCCATCACACCCATACATGTGCAGGGTGGGAATTTCTCGCCACGTGCCTTTCTGCAGCTGAGACTTGGCTGGGTCCCCCGTAGCGGCTGCCCAGGACAGTGTTCTCTGGACTTCCTCATTCCTGGCCTCTCCACACAGGAAGCAGCAAAGCAGTACATGTTGCTCCCTTCTGTGAGCTGTGGAGAACCTCAGAGCATGCAACACTGGCTGAGAAAGGAAGTATTCCCATCCTGTCACGGGAACTGAGAGTTAGGAAAACGTGAGTTCAGTTTGTGCCTCCATCAAGGCATCCCTCAGGGTAGGAAGCTTCTTGGCTTTTTGACACTCCTCACAACTCTGTCTATAAATGTCTCTTCCTTGGACATGCCTATCTGAAATTCCACCACTAGAGTCACATATTTTGGGCCCAAGTTACAAGCACGTGAGACAGTTTAACCATCTTTTTGCCTGATAACAGTAAGTAGAGATTCCGCAGGAAGGTGGGAGGTTTAATGGCAATTGGTGGCGTTGTTGGGGGGACAAGGACCCATCAGGGGAACCCGTGTGAGTGCCTGGAATTGCTCCTGTGGGTGTGCAGGGCTGTAGGGCAGGGGGCTCCTCAAGGTAGGGTAGGGCACATAAAGGAATAAAGAAAGACCCTGAGCTGCTCTCTGCCAAAGCTTGGCCTAAGGCCACATACCCCTCCCGTCTTTGTATCTCAGTCATTTCATGGGTCAAGGCAGAGGCCTGGCCCAAGTTCTCTGTAATAGAAGTTCAGAGGCCTCTGGTGTCCCGCCTCCCATTCTCAGCCTCACCTCTGATCCTAACTGCAGTCTGTGCCCACCTCACCCTGTCAGCCTTTTGTCTTGAGTGCAGGCCTGTGTCTTTTGCTGTCTCTCTTTTGGGGTTTCTATGATGCTGTGGACGTGAGTGGGAGCCCACTTAGCACTCACATATGCACAGCCCTGACCCGCAGGGCACTGACGCCTCCAATGCAACCCTCCAACAGTGGGCGGCGGGGGCGGAGGGATGAATGCCGCTTCTGGCTGCTCATCAGCAGACAAGCCTGAGGGATTTTTCACATGCTCCTCAAGAGGTCCTGGGTGGGATTAAGCTCCAGCTGCTCAGTAATGGCCTTGATAATACACCTTATTTTGACTTTTCTTCTTTCCTTCCCTTTCCCCAGTCCCTCACTTCTGCTCCCTGGGATCACCTCCCAAATAAACTACCTGCACACAACCCCTTGGCTGAGGCTTAGCTTTCCAAGGAGGACCCGGGATAGGAAAAATGATTTGGGGTAACCCCAATAAATCCCAGGGCCCCACAGGGCTTTCTCAAAGTCCAACACACAGACCAGCAAACAATAAAGGCATCATAAAAATGAATTCCAATCTTTAGCATTTGTAAAGCTATATCAAAGGGCATCAAACACTCTAAATTCCCATTGTCCAGGCCCCAAACTATCTACTCCAGACCCCTTTGGATGCCATTCTAGCTGTTCTTCTTTTCCATCTCTTTTAATGTAGAATTGTATTTAGCTTCTCTGGCTTAAATACATACAGTGTCTGACTTAAGATGGTCCAACTTAACAATTTTTTTACTTTATCAGGATACTAAATGCATTTTCAACTTACTATACAATGAGTTGATTGGGCTGTAGCCCCATTGTAAATAAAGGAGCATCTGTACGTACACATACACACACACACACACACACACACCCTCCTATCTTCTATGGAAGCTATTCTGACTCTGCATCACTGAAGACCATTAGTCTTCTTTAACTGGTGGTAGTGGCAGGCTAAAGGACTGCTAACTCCTACCAGTGCCCTCTCGATTTGGTTCTTGGATAAGAGTTAGACTGCAAGCTATGTACAAGCAAAGCCTGGCTTGCAGAGCCCAGTTAGAAGCCCACAGCAAACCTGTAGGGGACAGCCTTTTTCATGCAATAACATACATAAGAAATGGGCATATTTTTTTTGGCACCATATAATAAATAAATGGGTAAAACTGTCCCCTCAAAAGCCGAGGGAATCCCTGTCTTGTTTGACAAAGCATGACCCATTTGCAGCACATCAGTGTGCCAGACCACCCCAGCTGGGAAGGTTACAGAATGTGCAGGCAGTGACCAGGGCCCTGACGCTGCGGTAGGTCCTGAGAACACGTGGAGAGCTGGCTCCCTCTCTCTCAGCGTCTAATGAACACAGCGCCTGCTTGACATTTTCCTGCACATTCTTACATTTGCCATCCGCCTCCCTGCCCCCATCCACACATTCCACAACATGGCAATTAATTGTTCTCCACTGTTCAGCAGCATTGGTGTGCATAGCCACAACTGTAGCCTTGCTTTGTTCCTGGTTTAATCAGTGGCTGTCTCTGGCTGTCCCTCAAAAAACAGACAAAACCAGCCAGCTGCAGACCCAGCTGTCAGCGAGCCCCGACACTGGCATTCAAGAGGCCGCAAGAGAGCCCTAGAGTACCCAGAGAGAGCTCATTCTTCTCTTTTCTCCTCCTCACAATTGACAGGCTCTGAGGAAGGAAACGTGAGCTCCGCTTGGCAGTGGGGCAGGAGGTTCTTGTTAACAGCTTGCCTTCCTGTTTATATGGGGCCTGGCAAAACTGTTAATTTCTCTCACGGAGGTGACAAATGGGAAACCTAGGACCGCCAGGGAGCAGCAGCCTAGAAAACAGCCCAGGCGAGACTTGTTGAAGCAAGGCCAGGAAGCTGGAAATGGGCGGGCAGGGCCCCTTGCAGGTTCCCAGGCCCACTGAAGAGGACCTCTGCACTTAGCTGTCCCCTCTTGAAAGATGCGCTGAGCCCCCGCTGTGTGGACATGGCTCTCCTGCTGTGAAGTCTGCTTCCCAACAGAGTGCTCCAGAGACAGGCACAGTGGAGTCCCTGCAGTGGGGGCTCAGAAGCCACGTCCCAAATAAGCATCTGTGTTAGGACCTGCAGGGTCCTCACTGTCCCTGGTCTGGCTCCGAAGCTTCAACCACTCCAGAAAATACACAGGGTCGGGTAGCCCCTTCCAGCTGCTTCCCTGGGCATCCACATCCTAGGCAGCGTTTCTCCCCCTGCCTGTACGTGGAGAGCATGGTGGAGACTCAGATCGAATTGTTCTGCGGTGGGGCCTGGGTGCTGATCTTTTTAAAGAGCTTCCCAGGTGATTTCTAATGAGCAGTCAGGGTGGAGAACCACTGCAAAGGATAGGTTGTTGCTGTTGTTAGTTTCATTATCAATCATTATTATAATCTCAAATTAAATGCTAGCTTATTTCAAAAGCTTCTTCGTGGGGGTGGGATGGAGGCAAAGAATGAGAAGAGGAGGAGGAGGAAACAGATTCCACCAGTCAGAGCCCCCTGCCAGGGCGAGTAATAGCCCCGATTTGAGTGGGATGGGGTTGTGGGCTTCCGGAAGTTTTTCCTGGGAATTTTCAGTGTTAAAATTAGGAAAGTCTGTCACCCTACCGCCCCACAGGGGACCCTGGGCCACCTTTACCATGGGTCCCCTGGGCCTCTGAGCCTCTTGAAGGCAGCGGATGGGTCTTATTCCTGCTTGCCCTGTATCTGCCATACAGTAGGTGTTCATTATCCAGCTGTGAAGTTACTGCCTCCTGTTTAATTCAACAAAGGCCCCTAGCTGCTGATATTTTATGTAGGAATGTTACCATGCGTTCATGGCCTGGAGAAAGACATAGTATTATTTGTTCTAGAGAGAGAGGCAGCTTCAGCGTGGGTGGAAGAGCAGGCTGTGGGCTGAGCTTGGGGAGAGCGTTTGCAAGCCTGTGGATGCGGAATGCTGTGGCTGCAAACATTTCGGGGAAATGGAGCTATTCTCACCACAGATGTAGATCTCATTTAAATATCCCTGTGCCCACAATTTTCCTATCAAAGGAGCTGGACTGCAAAAATTAGCTATTTTAGAAGTTTTTTCTCTTATAGAAGGAAAATCAGGATTCTTTTTTGTTTTTGTTTTTTTTTTTTTCAGTTTTATATGAAGGAAGTAAAATGAGGATCTATGGCGAGAACAGCAGCTCCCTTCTCAGGCTCTCTGAGAACTTTCCAAGCCTGACAGACAGGCCCTCTAGGAGCTGACCGTGAGGCCTCTCCAGCCCACACACTCCAGCCATCCTCGGTGTGGCTGCCCCGGGTCCCTGCATGGCGTCTCCTGCCTGGAAGGCTCCTACCCAGCCCTCTTACTTCTACTCTGCAGTGGTCAGCTCAAGCCTGGCCTCCTCCAGGAAACCCTACCTCCCTCTCTCTCTTTTGGAAGTTTCCAAAGCAAGCAGAGTCTTTACTACACAGTCAAGCATCCCTCTGTGATCCCTTCTGGAAGTTACCGAGTAATCAGTTCCTCCAACATTCCCTTTGCTAATATCTTCTCTGGCCACCAGCTGCAGTCCCGGTATTCCTGGGACTGTCTGGATGGCTGTGGTCTGCCCACCTGCTCACCATGGTGTGTGGTTAGTAGGAAAGCATGTAATAAGATATTCAGTCAGCAAAAGGCCTGAGGAGGCTGCAGTCCTGTGGGGCTTCCCTCACTCCGGGCAGCTGAAGGGGAGGGTGGGGAGGATGGCTCCAGGTTGGCTCTGCAGCCAGGAGGCCTTGGGGGAGTTCTCTGATGCAACTGCCTTCCCTGGGTCTGTGCAGTGGGCATCCCCCCAGAACTTCCAAGAGGCCACAGGCTACCATCTCTGCTGCAGCCTCTGCTATGTTCTTGGCTCCTAAATCTTGGCCACAGCCTCAGCTTGGCCCCACTGACACCGGCTGAGCTCATGATCAGGAACCCGATTCTGGAGTCAGCTCCCTGGGCTCTGGCTGGGTGGCTGGGTCCCTCCTGATGCCTTAGTTTTCTCGTGCAGAAAATGAGGGTGATATTAGTACCTACTTCACTAGGTTATTCAGAGGATCAAATGATCTATTTCTGTTAAATCAGAGTAATCCCTGACATATAAGTGTTGGCTATTCTTGTTTAATATTATTTTAATGGAAGAGGAAGAAGAGATGGCCAATTATCTCTAGGTGAGAGGCCACCTGATTTTTGTGAGCCCTTTATCCTAAAGTTTTCTTTAGGATAATCTGGTTTAGGATAAATCTGGTTCCTATAGCTAGAGGCAGTTCTGGCCTTCTGAGGAACTTTTTACTGCAGCTACTCCTGGGTTTCATTCTGTGCTGTCCTCTGTCTCCCAAGAGGCAAGCCATGGCTGAGTTCTAAAAAAGTTGTCTTTAACTGCCACCCTGATTTAGTCTATCTCTAATTGTTTTGAATGTGTTAATCATGATAACTTAAACTTCTGTGTGCTTTTTGAGGCAAGCAATTCGGTCTTGTGCATTTTTCTTTATTTCCCAACTACGCCTAACATAGTTCTAGGCACTGGTTGAGTGACACATAGAATCTTAGAGAACCCAAAAGCAATTTACCACCCCATTGCCTAGTGTGCATGAGACCAGAAGTAATACAAGGTCAAGGGACACTCTTGACCTTGGACATCTGAGTCTCGATCAGGCAGGTTGGCAGAGATACCCGGCTTGGATTTTGGTAAGTTGAGAGAGTGGAATGACAACCAGTAGAACTTCCAGCCCTGGCCTCTGTCCACTCCCTGAGGTTTGCAGTAAACCTAAGTAGCTTTATTTGGGAGGCAGACAGGGGAGATGCCAGCAAGAGCCAATAAACAGACATCCTTCTCTCTCTTGATTTTATTTCTTCAGCAATGCACTGAAATAATGCTGAGCCAAGAGTCTGCAGTAATCAAATAGACATGGACCATGAAGGGGGTGTCATTCCAGGCTGCAGGGAAAGCTCCAAGGTTCTGCTATGGTTCTCCATGGCCACTCTTTTTTTTTTTTTTTTTTTTTTTTTTTTACCGGAAAGGGAACTGTTTATGGCATCTCTTAGGTCCCTGTGGCATTTTAGCGCATTTGTTGAAATGCTTTTAGATTAGCATTAAGTGTGTGTTATCCTTGAAAAGACTGGATGAGTAACAAACGAGCTAACCTATCCTATTTTCCATAAAGAACTCTAAATTCCTCCCACTTCCCTGAACAAAATATCTGTATTCCCACCCACACACTCTCAGCTAACCTGCTGCCGAGGCTGAAACCCAGCCAAGCTGGGCCTCAGCACTGCTCCCGGGGCTTCAGGCTGCTCCCCAGCCAGCCAGGTCCTTGACTCTGAGTTCTTGCTCTGCTCTGATGTAGATAAAGGCAAATTAATTGGGGCCAAGAGTCCCTCTGCCAGATGGGCTGAAATGCCATAGACTGACTGCAGTCAGCAGTCCTCAGGGGAGTCCAGACGTTAAACGCTTTGCTGTGCAGAAGTTGTCAGCAAGCAGCAAAGCAGACCAGCCCCCAACCGCCATGCATGCCATGTTCCTGCTCGGGCTTCCAGGTGCCCTCTGCCCCTCACCTGAAAGGCCTTCCCTTCTCCTAGGCACCTGACAAATCCTACTGTCTTTCAACACTCAGCCAAAGCTCCTCTGCCTCAGCCATTCCTTCAGAATTGGTGCATATATTGAGCACCTGCTGAATTCCAGGAGGGACCCGAGGTGAGGATACCAAGATGAAACCCACGAGCTCTCCCTGCAAGCAGCTCCCAATCTGGAAGGCTTCTCTGGCTGCTCCGGCCCACAAGCACTGCCCTTCTTTGAACCCCTTTGAACAAGTTTAAAGTATAGTATAGATCTCACAGAATCATCAGTCTTAGAAACAGAAGGAACCTCAAAAAATTCATCTAGTCAGTCCAACCTTGGCTTTTGTAAATATAACCTCAACTTACAGATAGGCTAACAGAGCCCATGGGAGGATAAGAGCATTGTCCACAGTCACAGAGTGAGTTGGTGCACTTAGGTGCTCTAACTGCCCTCTGTGTTGGTCCTATTCCCCAAAAGTTCCCTAAGCTTGCCAAGATGGGGCCAGGACATTTTAGCTTCCTGTCAACCTCTCTGTACACATTAAGTGCCTAATAAAGGCTGATAACTTGCTGATTGCTCTTGGGCCTCTCTCAGCGCCACGGTCACAGGGCCCAGGTTAGGGGGCTGTGTTAGGGGGCTGCCACCTGAGACCCTGGCATCCAAACCCTGCATCGGGAGAGAGGCTGATTTCTTCCCCATCACTCCGGCCCCACACTCACGCTCGCACTCCCTTGGTGTGGCCTCCTTTGCAGAAGCAGCCTGCAGCCTCTGCCAGGGGACTTGCCTCTCACTGTTTGCAAAGACAGGCCCAAGTGAGCAGCCCTTAGGATGCGAGGGGCTTACTTAAGTAGGGGTCTTGGTTGCGGTCTTTTTCCTCGGAGAGAATGAAGTCACCCTGATCTCTTTTTCCTTACAAACCATTTGGAGGACAGGAGATAATAAGGACAGGTCACTGTTCCTCCTGGAAAGTCATCAGCAGCTGCTCATGAGGGGCCATGGTCTTGCCAGGAGAATGCAAGGTGGAGGAGGAGCAGGTGGGACTGTGCGGGCAGTTCAAGGCGGACGCCACCCCCAGTGGCAGGCACCACAGTGAGTCGCCGAAGACCCTGTGTGCCTGGGCCTCTGGCCAGGGAGGTCAGGCCTGGTTGTTACCCAGCCAGAGGCAGCTGTGCCTGTGAAAGTGCTTGCCTGCAGACACTTGATATGCCACAGGCCACCGTGTGGCCAAGGTCTGCCCATGTTGCTTGTCCCTCTGAGGCAGGGAATTTAGGAAACAGGAATTGAGGACTCTGCATGGGAACATTTAGATCAGGTCAGAACCTTAGTGTAGATTTTTTTGCTGTCTTGGTGTTAAATGTCCCATTTTAACTTATTCTCCAGAGCTGCCCCCAGGATCTGGTAAGTTGGGAGAGGAACCTCAAGGCCTTGGAATTTATCCTGGGGGTGGAGAAACAGGGAGGGTGCTCAGAATAGAGGGAGAAAAGGTGCCCTTCTCCCAAGGGTGACCGGTGTGGTGGGGGCAGCAGACTCACAGGGACGTGACTATGCTAAAGGGAAACAACCAACTGATGGGCGTCTTCCTAGAGCTCAGGGACCTGGAGGAAAGAGCAGCTTTCTGGCCTCAGGTGCAACCTCTTCTTTAGGGGCCTGGGAAGTGAGAGGATAGGCTGGAAGAGTGGATTCAAGGCCAGGATAACATGGGGATACAAAGGCAGAGGTCCTGGGCTGAAGTGGGGATGGACTTTCTCAGGGGCCAGGGAAGGGAGAGAGATGGCAACCCCAGGCAAACTCCCAGCCAGACAGCAGGACCCAGGCTGGCCAGGCAGCCGGTGGCCTGCAGACAGCCTGCTTCCAGGGTACCAGACACTGCCTCTTCCCAATGACCACAGAGCCATCAGCCAACAGAAGCCACCTAGGCCTCCTTGCACACTTTCTTACTCTCAGGAGCCAAGAATGTGTCACTTTGTCCCTCTGTCTTCCTGACCTCACCAACTACACTCAGCAGAACAACCAGACACTCTCCAATCTTCTATTTGCCTCCCATCACCTGGCAACAGGCAAGAGACAGAATGATTAACCAAAACCTTTAATTTTTTGTTTTCTTTAAATAAAATTCCTTGGAAAGAGCTCTGAAAGTGAGAAGAAATCCTAATTCGGTAACACTATTGAATGTTTCCATTTTCCAGAGCAATTCAATCTCTAGATTTTTAATTAAAAAAAAAAAAAAAGAAAGAAAGGAAAGAATCAACTGAAATGGATTTTAGCAAGACACTAAATGAACTCATGCAGTTTGAAAATGAAGATTAAAAGTTTTAGCAAAGTTTGCACTTTCCCCAGATCACACATGTGATGCAGCCAGGTGACCTCCTATTCCTGTTCAACTATGTCATCCCACCCTGATCCCAGCCTGGGTCATTTTTGAGGGAAGAACTTAGCAATTTCTCAAAGCCTAACCACTTCTACTAGGTCTGAATCTGAGGTTAGAATATGCTACTGGCAAATGCAGGGATGTACGTTCTTCTATAGAGTGACCTGTATAGTGTACAAATTGATGCTAAATAAAAATTGTGTGCCTGAAATAATGTAAAATGCATTTGCACATTTCCTGGGAAAGTAAAGGTGGGTTTTAGGGGCTTCTTTGTCCTGTTCCAAGGACCACACTCAGCTCTGTCAAACTCTGATTGCCTCTAGCAAGCCCCCTCCCATTTCTGATAGCGCCTTTCCTCCGTCCTGTGACAGCCACACTCGGTGGACACCAGTCCTCTAAGTCAGACTTGGGACACATGGAAATACAAGCATCCTTGGTCTGTCCCACGTGTATGGGCCTGCCTGCCTTATCAGCTGGACTGTGAGGTTCTTGCAGCATGGGATTTTACTTCCTGGTTCTCCCCTGTGTCACCAAGATCTGTCTGTGATGTGTGCATCAGTCCACTGTGACAACACTCCTCCTGTAATGGCCACACACACCCACATACATACCAGTCCATCTAACAATCTAGATGTTAAACATGGATGTGACAAAAACAGTAATAGCCCAAGCAGGGCCCCAGTTACTTCCATTGGAAACCATTGATTTTTTTTTTTTAAGTGAAAAATGTAACTGTCCCTTGTACTTTAGGCTAAATGTCAAATGAAGGTGTAGAGTCCTTTAACGTTGGGGATATTTCCCCCCTTGGAAAACCTGGCAGGGTATGGGCTAGTCCAGCGATGCACTGGCCTACCCTGCACCCCCACACCCTCCGGAGGCTGGTGTGCACACGTGGCCTTCCCTCTTTGCTCGGCCCTGGCCCCAGTGACAGTGTCTTTAAGAGCCAGGGTATAGGGCTGCTGGCTGTCTTTGCAGGATCACATGGCAGAGTGCCAGGACTGGGGCCCACCCCCACAGGGGTGAAATGGAAGGAAACTTTCCTAAAGGCAGGAAAGGGAATCACGCCAGCCCTCTATACACTCGCCAAAGCCACACTGAGCTCTGGGGTTGCTGTTACCACGAAGGACTCCCCAACCCCAGCCTTCCCAACCAGACCCAGGGGACTGTCATGCTGGGCCCTGTGGATTCCGTTCCTCTGAAAGAGGTTCTGAGTCAAAGAACACCTGGTTTCACAATTAGCATCCATTCTCTGATTAGAAAAGAAAGCAGACAGACAGGGCAGGAGAAATCAGCAGCGGCTGCAGGCACACCCGCCCGCAGGCCGCTGTGGGAGCTCACCCACTGCTCAAGGCGCTGCCACCTGGCCCTTGCAGTGTGCGCAAACCTCTGTGAACACTTGGCCTCCTGCCTCTGGAGCTGGGAGGAGCCCCGTGGGCAGGAGCCCTGGCTCTCCCAGCCCTGAGTCATCACAGCCCCACCTGGCCCTGCAGCCAGAAAATAGAACCGCTGAATTTCAACCAAAGGGACGGAGAGCTCCAAAGGATTCAAACAGGGCTGTGAATAGGCAGCCTTGCAATAAGACTAAGCAGAACAAAGCAGGACAGAACCAGAAGGAAATGTTCAGTTTGCACCTGCGCAGTGGCCCACTCTGTCTCTGGGAGGCCTTGGCTTGGCACCTGGGTGAGCCTTCCTAGAAGTGTTCTGACAAGGATACTCCAGAAGTCTCTATAGTGCTTCCAAGTCCATGTGTTCACGGAAGGTTAAAATAGGAAGGCGCTTCCTGTGGGATTTCTGCAAGCCCTTTTCTCCTGTCCGGGCCACAGTTTGGTTATCTGTACAATGAAGGGATTGGACGAGATCTGTGGGTCTCAACCCTGTCTGCACAGGAGAACCACCTGGGGATGCTGCAGTCTTGAGCTTGTGATGTCTGAGTGGCCCAGGGGCAGGTGTGGGGGAGTCGGTGGGGAAGTGCTGCAACAGGACTGGCCAAGAGTTGAAATTGCTTAAGCGGATGCTAGGTAAATGGTGGGTGGATGTATGTGTGTGGATTATTCTATTCATTCTAGTTTTCAGAATAAAAGTTAAAAAAAAAACAAAAAACTGATGCCTTAAAACTAGCTATGCCTGGGACTCACCTGGAACCTATTGAGATGGAACGTCAGGCGCTGGGGCTCTGGCATTGGGGTTTTTAACAAATGAGTCCCCAGGTGACTCTAGTATGCAGCCAGGGTTGAGAACACTGAACTAGACACTCTCCATCAGCCCCACATGCAGCTGAGCAGTTGAGCCACCCTCACCTTTGACCAAACATGGCAAGTCACATTCAGGTCCCATTTGCTCTAACTTCCTACTGCTGTAGCCCTTCTTCTTAGAGGGGAGATGATGGAGGGGCCAGGGCAAAGCACTGTAGCTGCACTTGGAGCAGGGAGCCCCACCAGGCCTTACCCCCTGGTCCTCCAGCTGGTCCATCCTGCCCTGAATGGGCTGCTACCCAAGGCTTCCAGAGGGGCAAGCGTGCCAGCTCAGGAAGTGTTGGGGGGCTGCACCTCTAGGTCCACCAGGAAGCTCCTGGCAGGACCAATCCCTCTCCCCCACACAGTAAGCTTGAATTTGAGCCTCATTTTCTGTCTCCTCATGTGGCCAAGTAGTGGGCCTCCCACCTCTCTGAACATGGCAAGTCACATTCATGTTGCATTTGGTTTAACTTCCCGCAGACACTGAATGTTCCCGGACTGTTTCCCAACATCCCTTTTCCCACTATTGCATTACAGCGTGTGGGACCAGGAAGTGGTTCGCAGGCTCAGCGTGGATTTCCACTCAGGATGCTCAGCTTCCTGGGCCCTGCAGAGCTCCCACCAGCTTTCACTGCCTTTCACCCCAGAACACTGGCCACAGACCCCCTCCCACCACCACCCTCCACAATCTGATCCCACTGGCTGGATTTTCCTTCACCCTTCTCACTGAAGTTTACATTCCAAACTCCTAGAAAACTTTTCACAAGGTTTCTTCTCTCTTGGGTCCTTTGTCCTTTATCAATGACAAATGAGCTCTGTAGGGCAGGGGGGCCCCTCCTTACTCCAGCCTTTCTGAAATTTAAGAACGTCTTAGGTTCCTGCCACTTTTTCACATTGGTACCTCCTACCGCCTTTCTCTGGCTGAAGCTGCATCTCCAGTTCAGAATTTGAGGCCTTTCCTGCCTATT